AAAAACCAGGTAATTGACTCTTAAATTATGAAATTGAAGGATTGGACACATTTTTTAAAATGAGTAGAATGCTGGCAGGAGTTAGAATGCCCCCCTGCAAAAATTTGGGAAAATTACCAATGCTGGAGTCCAACTATTCATTTTGAAAATTTTTAAGCCCTGGGGAAGGGCGCTATGTCTGCTCCCAAAATGCTTTGGCTGTTTGATCAACACAGTCATTAAACTTTCTTATGGACTCTGTTATCTGACATCTGTTTTGGTCTGGCACTTCGTCTGTACAATTTGTTTTAGTTCACTGGACAACTATGTAGTATAAGAGTTAAAATATTCCTATTTACATTTTTTTTTCTATTTCTAGTGAATAGAGTTGGAAACATTTAGAACCGCTGTCAGGTTTTCATTGTTAACCATATATCGAGCAGAAAGGACATCACACCAATGGCAAAGGAGTCCAAAATGATATTTTATTACATTATGAGTACAAATCCAACGCATTTTGGGGCTTCAGAAACTCCCCCTTCATCAGGGCTACAACAGCCCTGATGAAGGGTGAGTGTCTGACCCCAAAACATTTTGGTTTTCTACTGATTATCTTATAAAATATTGATTTGTACTCATTAGCCATTGGTGTGGGCTCCTTACTGCTTCCTATGAAGTTGTTATTATCTCAAGGCCCCTCTTCCATTGGGGATGCTCTAGTATATGTAAGCAGTCTCACAGAAGTGGTCAGCTTGTTCAATGAGATGGACTTTTTCAACACTGGATATTAAGGATAGAATAACACTAATAAAAGAAGATCTGTATGCGCCCAGCATTTTATTGCTGTCTGTGTCCCCGTTGAGATTCACCTACTAAAGTGATGGGAAATCCAAAAATGTTGACTCCCCAGACCATTAAAGAGGTTAAATCTTCCAATGGGGTCACCTATTTTGATGACAACTAAGAGGCTGTCCCCTGACTTTGAAGGGCTTTCTGCTCATTTGCTCTATTTCTGCAGGACAAGTGAATGGAAATGTATCTGATGGGACACAGGCAGCAAAGCAGGCAGGGGTTCTAACCTTTTCCATCTCTATCGCAATCTAAACAAATATTTTGGATTAAGATATATTTCAATTGTATCAATAAGTTAGCTCAACATATTACATAGTTTAGGCAACTGTATAAGTTTAGCAACTTAGGACCACCAAACTCCAATGTTTGGGCCATGTAATACTGTTAATTTAAAGAAGGTAATACAAAGGACCACTACTAGCAAAGGAAAGAAGGCCCAAGAGTGAGAAACTTGGATGATGCCTATGAAAAAATAAATCAGGAGCCAGACATTGGAGGAAAAAGGCAGAAAATAGATCAGAATGCAGAAAACACATTTAAGGTTCTACAAGAGAGGTAACTCCATGTTGTAAGATAGGTGTTGTCATCATTTTACCTTTAAAGTCTGAAAGTCCTGTGTATTCAAGCTTCTGTGAGAATCTTCCTTACGTCTCAGGGACCTCATAGCCCCTTTTTATACCTCTGGTTTTATTAGCTGCGGTTTGCATTGGCACTGGGCTCAAAATGAAGCAATCTGTTATGTAGAGGTCAAGACTCATAATCTCAAAACACAGACCTTGCTGGTTATTACCCAAGTGCAACTGTCCAAATTGACTGATTAATTTCCCTTTTTTTATCTGACTTCAATCAAACATATGTATATTTCTACATAGTTTAAAGCCCAACTCCAGGCACAATAACCTTACCCCAGATAAAGCAGTCAAACATTCCACTGCCACAAAAGCATGCTAACTGTCCAAAATTTGGTATAGCTAACAATTGTGTTACAGGTATTGGATAATTTGCTATCCTTAGTTTGACTTTCACTGTTACCACTAGTTGTCAGTAGTAAACATTATAATACTTACAAATAATGATGAGCTCAGGTTTGAATCCTGTCTAAACCTGAGCTCATCTGAACCCAGAAGGAGCTCCTAATGAACATGGAAGGAAGCTCTTTTCATGCCTCCAGTAATGTCATGAACCTTATATGGCTACATAGCTATATTAGGTAAATTAATTTTTTCTGGTATAGCCATGTTCCCATATGAGGTAAATTTTGTCTTGTCTGTGCAAGCATCCTGCTCCTTTGTTTATGTTCTGTGTGTTTGGATGAGCTCATGTTTGGACTGAGTGTGGCCCAAGCTGAGCTCATCCCACTTACAAAAGAGTTTGAGGTCTATATTAATCCTGAGACTTTACCTTGCCTTAGGGTTCTAAGGCAATCTTAGGGATACCACTTAAAGTGACATTAAACCCTCAGATTTTTTAACATAAAACAATAATGTAATGTGTGCCTTACTGTAATCCATGGTTGTTTCCCTTCTCTTTGCTGCTCTTCCTTTTAAATCCTCATGTCTTCTCATGCTTGGGGAGAACTTCCCTTTTCAGCTCAGGGCCTCTTCCTGTAGTGCTGGCTCAGGTTTCAAGCCTATACAAACGTATACACAGACACCGTGTATCCATTCCTGAGACAAGGCAGTCTGCTGCAAAACAGAAGTTCTGCCCAGCATGAGAACAGATACAGATTTAAAAGGAAGAGCAGCAAAGAGAAGGGAAACAACCATGGATTACAGTAAGGCACACATTACAGTATTGTTTTATGTTAAAAAATCTGAGGGTTTAATGTCACTTTAAGCCACAAATCCTACTTCTCAATGGCTCCCATTAGGTCAAATTACCTACACACATGTGTTATGTTAATGCAGGTAATACCATGTTGGGATTTTTTTCAGCGCAAATTCCTGGTTTCTAATTGTTCGTTTATTATTGTCGATGTTCTGCATTATAATTACCAGGTTAGGTCATTTTTATGACAGCTCTCACTTGTTATTTTTCCACTTAGATCCAAGTAACATTATGATCAAACTGAAGAATAGCAACTAACACCTGTGGTTTTCTATCTTGGAATAGTAGGAGTATGGCTACACCACACAAAGGTATGTTGGCTTTCACTCAAAATCAACTATCTAATGCTAAAATAATTTTCTTCCAGGAGACACATCTTGTAAAAGATAGTGCTAAATATTGCCGCAAGTCATGGCAGCAGTGGTCTAGCCACTACTGTCATACCTCTTTTATAATATTAAAACATATGTGAGGGCTTTTTAGGTATCAAGAACACCACTGATGGTCAATACAGTGTTGTATTAAAACAACATATTTATTGGTACAAAGTTAAAAAATTAGTTTTACATAGTTAAAACACATACAAAAAGTGATCCTTCCTTCAAATTTATCATACACTCATGACCTCCCTTATATAAATACCTGCAGATTGTGCCCGATGACCACAAAGAGTCCAAATAATGCGATATTATCATGATGTCATGGTATCAAAGAGTGCCAATGCTCCTCAACGCGTTTCACGCCCAATATAGAGGCTTCTTCAGGAGGGAGGGAGAGGATGCTCTACATAAATAAGTATACATGAAGGTAAGTACAAAACTATAACACAATATATATCATAATTACATATACTGGAATATTTATACAAAATATCACTGCATTAATATCTAATGTCCTGCTATGTTGGTGTGACCAATTGGAGGAAGAAAAGAATAATAATATTTATTAGTTGATAAATAACCATGTCTGATTATTTTAGTAACTCATGGGAAGGTTTAATGTGATTATATATCATCACAAGAATCAGGTACAAATATGGTGATATATAAATTAAAATGCCGTTTTGAATGAAAAACAACCTCTTTTTGGCACAAGGGCTACTTTAAGAAATATATACATTGAGTGGCCAGATTATTATGAACACCCCATCAGTACTTCGTTGGGCCACGAGATAACTCCACGAGATGACTTAGTTGGGCCACCTCGTGACTCCACGAGATGTTGAAAGGTGATGCGAGGAATCTGACACTGCACTGTTGCTCTTCTGTTGTCTTGTACCAGTCTTGCCGCTCTCCGTTCTGCCCTAACATTGACTAGTCGCTGACGGCCACAATTCGCATGTTCAGACCCAGATTTTCGGCTGACAGTCCAGTCTTTAAACACTTTAACAACAGCTGCTCTTGAACATTTAACGAATTCTGCTGTTTTGCTGATACTCGCTCCATGGCTTGAGCGGAAACAATCATCCCACGTTCAAAGGCTGTTAAATCGCGTTATTTACCCATATCTTCAGAAAAAAATCAGTGCGAAATTATAGCTAAATATAGCTAATTTGCCTACAAACGTCAGGTGGTCATAATAATCTGGCCACTCAGTGTAGATAATAGTAAAGTTCCATGGGGCTTACGTGTACAAATATTTCCTATTGTGCCCCCATACAGATGAAACTTTAAAAACCAAATGGGAAGCTAACCTTAACCGCTTGCCATCCGCCCATTGTAAAAAAACGGACGGACGCAAACTCACATTGGCGGGTTGCCATAATTAGACGGCTTTTTTTTTCTGCGCGCAGCCGGGCATGGTCAGAAAAATCCCGTTCATTGTAAACAACCGTTACCGGCTGTTTCACATACAAGTGATCGGTGGCTTGATAGCCTGATGATCACTTGTATGTGCTGCCTGCGTGCGCCAGTCCCCCCCTCTAGTGCAGCCGTCGCTGTCCCACCGCCGCCCCCCCTCCTGCATCCTCACCTTCAATCCCGGGATCCTCTGCCCCATCTGCGGCCCGAGACGGCTCTGGAGGGTGTCAGGAGGAAGATGGGAGCGAGATCAGCATCTTTCTCCTTGCTGCTCTCCCTCCGTAGTGTGAATGCCGAAG